TGACTTTTTATCATTCTTTTCACAAAATCCAAACTTCTTACCATGGCCTACTTGCTCTGTTTTTATATCTCACACTAATCTTGTTATTCCTTCCATTTATCAAACTCTTCTTTACTTCAGGGCCTTTACAAATATGATTCCTTCTATCTGGAAGGCTCTTTACCCAGCTCTGACAAGGTTCATTTCCTTCTCATCCTATAGATTGCAGTTCCAACATTTCTTTTGAAGGCCTTTCTTGATCTCCCTGTCTCAAGGAAGCCTCCTCCACTTGTCATACCACCTACTTATTTCCTTCATTCACTCATCATAGTGTCTCATTATTTTATAAATAATAATGAAGATTTCTATGTACTTATTTATTTATACAAGAACTGGGGTACAGTCAGAGGTGTGGGAGGGTGAGAGAATTCACCACAGATAGAGTGGGGAGGAGAACAGGCAGAAGGACCAAAGACACAGCTGAGGGGAGCAGTGGGTGAGGCAGGAGAGGTCTGCCACGCCATGTGGGTTTCTTCCTGGCTGGCTGGGAATCGAACCCGTGCTATGGAGGCTGCGGACAGCGTGGTGCTAAACCCGCTGTGCCACTGTGGAGGCCCTCTGTGCACTTCCTATGTGCAAAGATAAGGGGGAAAAAGTAAAAATAATGAGACTTCTTGGCACTTCTGCTAGGGAAACATCACATGTCATGATAGTCTGTGACACTGAATGGTGTTTGTTAGGCCAAAGGACTGGGCTTCACATACTTCACCTTATTTATTCATTTACTAGTTTCTTTTCTTCTTGTTTTTTTCCTGTACCCCCAGCATCCAGCACAGTATCTGGAATACAATAGACCTTAATGTTCAACAAATGAGTAAGTTTACTAAGCACTAATTATGGCCAGGCACTGTACTGAGCACTTTACATCTACTGTCTCCTTTAATTTGAACAGTGTTCCTGTGAGGTAGGTACTACTACCATCTTCCCTTTACAGAGGGGAGGCTAGTTCTAGATCTCAGGAAGAACTAACACAAGCCAGGTCATCTTGTTACAGGGCAACCCCGCTCTAAAATGAGTTCCTGACTGTGGGTCCTCACCCGCACACTTAAAAGGGACTTTCACTGCAGGCACACACAAAAGGTTTATTTACAAGGGAAGGGGAATGAGGAAATGTACAACTCAAGGAGAAAAGAGGGAAGATAAATTCTTAAATGTATTCTACCCGTTCCGCCAACCTGGAATCCCAAATGACCCACCGAGACCAAACCTGCCTGCCCAAGAGGATGAGCCAAGTGTCCAAGACCCCACTAATATGGCTGGTTTTTATTTATAAACAGAGAAAATGGCTGCTTAACTAAGCCCTTTGGTCCTTGCAACTTCTCTTTGGGGATCATGGGATTTGTAGTTCCCAGTCCCTTAATGGAGTGGGGGTGGCATCCACAAAGCCTGTATGGAGTTTGTTCTGGACATCCTTTCCCCCTAATAATCTGACTCCAGTACTCCCTGGGAAGGCACTAGACAGGATGGAGAGACCTGAACGCACTTTAGCCTGCAGCGACCCACAACTCAGAGTAAAGGCAGGGGGACTTGAGGGCTTGCTATTTAAGATCAGACCAGAGATTTTGAGGTATCACTGCTCACTTGGGAGGCAGATTCAGGGCCTGGGTTAAAGCTCAGGATTGTGCAAAATGGCAAGAGCTAAATGCTCCAATTCAATTCTACGCATCCTCAGCAGGGTTGGGGGCTGCCTCAGAGATCTCAGAGAAGACTCTGAGCCAGACATGCACCCAGTCTGCTTGCGGAATCTGCTGTCTTTCTATCTTTCTGAGATCAAGGGTGAGATAAGGGGAAAAAGTAAAAATAACGAGACTTCTTGGCACTTCTGCTAGGGAAACATCACATGTCAGGCCTGTGACACCGAGAACGGTGTTTGTTAGGCCAAAAGCTCCAAGCTCATTAGCAACATAGCGCTAAGCTGCAAGCCGCCCACGCAGCTTGCTTGGGAAACAAACACAGTGAAACATCCATCCCTCCTGGGCTTGGGCACCATAATCAACATCAGCACGCTTATGCACCGAGACAGGTTTGGTTGGCTGCAGGGCCCTAGAAGTGGATTGTGTGTGGGTGTCCCAGAGATGCTGCTAATGAGCCTCACCATTATCATCATTGCTTGAATTTGGGACTCAGTTCCGTCCTAATGCAGTTTCTCAAATTTGAATCATTCCCAGATCAGCTCACCAATTTTCTCCATATATATGTGCCACCAATACCAGCTTTTATTTTATATCTCTCTGTAACTTGACTCACTTAGCACAACCTTCACTACACTAGCCTTGTACTCAGCAGCATTTGTGAAATCACCAGTTTGATGTGCTGGTTATATGTTTCCCTGAAGTCTAATACACATATAACTCTTAAAAAAATGTTCATCTGAGTTCTATTTGAAATCACCTCGGTGTAAACAAGATGCTAAACAATTGGTGTCAAAGGAATACAAGTGAAAACCTGAAAGAGCTCTCACTGGCCCAACGCTGGAACAATTTGAGCAACAAAATAAATAATACAGTACTATATTATAGCCCTAAGTATAAATGAGATATCTGTGAGACTATGCTGTGAAATAAATGATTGAATAAATAGAAGAGGCAAATCTTCCTTATAAAAGAATTCCAAATAATCTATCCCTTCCATATAATTTTACTCCCCTCTTGAGTGTGGACGGCACTTAGTAACTTGCTTCCTAAGAGTAGGAAGGGAGAACACAAGTAAATTCACCAGGAGAATCTGGCAAACACTACTTTGGCCAGGTAGTCAAGGTGATAGCATGTATTGATATCATGTATCATGTGTCATGTTGATAGCATGTATTCCTTACATTGTGTCATGAAAAGGGCACTTTTCCCCTGTAGTATTCTTCACAAAACCTATAACCCCAGTCTAATAATGATAAAATCATCCAAAGAAGCAAAATTGAGGGACACTATAAAATACCTGACCAGTATTCCCCAAAATTGTCAGGGTCATGAAAAACAAGGAAAGTCAGAAATTGTCCAAGACCAAAAGAAACTAAGGAGATATGATGACTAAATTTATTGTAGCATCTTGAATGGGGCCCTGAGCGCAAAATGGATTTTAGCAGAAAAGCAAAGTGAAATTCAAATAAAGCATACAATTTTATGAATAGGAATGTACCAAGGTTGGATTTTTAATGTGACAAATGCACATAGTTATGGAAGATGGTAACAGTAGGGGGGAGGGAATAGATGGAGTATAAAGACATTCTTTGTGCTCTGGGAGGTCTCTGTGTTTTATAATTCAAAGATTTACTTTTTTTTTTTTTTTTGTGGGACCCTCACCGGCTCAGCCCAGGGCTCAACGGCTGCGCCACCAGGGGAGGCCCTCAAAGATTTACATTTTATTTTCTGTGTGTGTGTGTGTGTGTGTGTGTGTGTGTGTGTGTGAGAGAGAGAGAGAGAGAGAGAGAGAGAGAGATACTGTATACAGTGATTCAAAGCATGAATTTTGAAGTCATGTGGACCTGTATTTTTGTTTCTTGTGGCTACAAATCAAATGATCACAAATCTGGTAGCTTAAGAAACAATAGAAATGTATTTTCTCACTGTTCTGGAGACCAGACAGTCAACATTAGTTCAACATTAATTTTTACCAGGCTGGAATCAAGGTGTTGACATGGCTACGCTCCCTCCAGAAGATCCAGAGATTAGTCCTGTCTCTTCCAATTTCTGGTGGCTGTCAGCATTCCTTGGCCTGTTGCTGCATCACTCTATCTCTGTCTTTGTGTTACCTCCTCCAATTCTCTGTATCTGTCCTATCTTACTCTGCCTTTCTCTCATGAGACTATTTGTGATTACACATAGCATATTTAGATTATATTTAGATAATCCCAGATGGTCCCTTCAATGCAACATCCTTAATCACATTTGCAATAAATAACCTTTTCCCAAATAAGATTCCAAGGGCTTCTACAGTTTCTCTGTATCTTTCAGGGATTTCTACTGTTTCTCTATATCTTTTAGTGGCCATCATTCAGCCTACCACAACCGGGCTGTGTTTAATTTAGGATTTCTGTAGTACCAATAAATCTCCTCTAAAATTGAAATAGCAGACTGACGAAGTACACTGCTGAGGGGAGCAGCAGGCGGCAGGAGAGGTCTGCGCAACATGTGGGACCCTCGCCAGCAGCCAGGGATCGAACCAGCGCTGCAGAGGCTGCGGGCAGCTTCTCAGCCCAGCGCTCAACCACTGCGCTACCCGGGAGGCCCTTGATAACTCTTTATTCCAACTCTTTGAAGCAGAAACTCTAATAAGACACTCAGGTTGCAGGACCCAGCACAGGCCTGGGGGGCCCTGAAGGTGACATGAAGGCTATGTTCTACCCTCAGATGGCAAAAGGGCAGGATAAGGAGTTATGGCCCCGGTTCCAATCCTTGCTCCTCCACCTCCCAGCTCTCTGAGGCTGGGTAAGTCACCAAACCTTTTTCTCCTATGTAAAGGGAAACACATTATAGAACCTCAAAGGAAAATTTTTGAGACTTTCGTGAATTGCCGTACATGATGCTTTATTCCAGTGCTTGGTACAAAGTGAATGCTCACCGTTGTCATTACTAAGCACAGAGAACCCTAAACACATCTTCTTAATGTTCTCTGCCTAGAGAAAAATGATTTCTCAAGATGGGTAGTGAGGAACACGAGATTTGGAGAATCTGGGTCTCAGCCACTGTCTTTCTATGTAGGCTGATGTGAGTCATTCCTGGTCGCTCAGTCATCCCCCATCAGGACAAGGGGATGACAAAAGTGCCGACCCCGCAGCGGGGAATTTGCTGCTGCCGCAGAGGGCCTGCCAAACCCACCCGCTGCTCCACCACATGACCGGGAACTCCGCTCTGCAGGCTCTAGGACGCCAGAGACTCGGATGCAGCGGCTAGAGCCAGGCTCACTGCTGCCATGGCAACGCCCAAAGACTGCCGGGAAGAGAAAGGCGGGGCCCGCCAGCCGGCAAAGGCCTAGAAAGAAGCCTAACTCACAATGAGGCCCCGCCCCAACCCTAGGCTCAGCTCAGAAAAAACGGGCCGCTCCTCAGACTCTGGATTCCGCAGCCTCTGTGGTCCGCAGATCCCATTAGTGCTTTACAGACTGCTTCTGATGGCAGACTGTAGCTGACTAACCACACACCCCATCACTGCCTGATAATCCGAGTGTGTCAGGTAGTGTCTGACTGAATGTGGGGGACTGACAGACCAAGGTCTTGGGATATGTCTGTCTGACCACAAGTTGACTGACTGCCCCATACCTGGCTGATGCACGTGGACCTGACAGGGCCTGATTGATCAAGCTGGCCTAACGGCATCTGACGACCAAACTCTATCTGTATTGGACAAGTGTATCTGACTGAGCCAGGCCCTCTGTGTCTAACCAGTTTACTGACTGATACCTCTGTGCCCACTGTCTCACCACTTCTCTACTGGAAGTGTTAGGGGGAAAAGGATGGCAAAAAGTGAAAGGGGGGAATTGATAGGGGGAAAAGGATGTCCTAAAGCTAATTCCATACAGGCTTTGTGGACTCCACCCCCACCCCAGGCCAAAGCCAAAGACACTGGGAACTCCAAATCCCATCACCACCAAAGGGAAGGTGGCTGGGACCTGAGGGTGGGGTTAAGCAGCCAGGTGTGGTATAAAGCCAGATACGTGGGCTTTGGAGGGGATCCCCCATTTTGGCTCCCCGCCAGCTCGCAGGTTAGGCCAGCTCTGAGAGTGCCTTTGGGTTTCCAGGTCGGCGGATTGGGTAGGACGCATTAAAGACTTTATTTCCCTATTTTCTCCCTGAGTTGTACATTTCCTTAATTCCCTTTCCCTTGTAAATAAACCTTTTATTAACCTTTTGTGTTTGCCTGTAGTGGAGTATTAATAAGTCCCTTTTAAGTGCGGGTGAGGACCCACAGCCAGGCAACCCATTTTATATTGGGGTTGCCCTATAACAAAAGGACTAAGCTGGCTGAGGTGGACTGATCATCTAGTTCTGACTACAACTGGGCCAGAGGCATCTGCCTGAGTCTCCTGACTGGCTGGCTGTCTGAGTGGTCTAGCTGGTTTCCAAAGACTTGCTGACCTTCCTGGCCCAGACTTGGCTTCACTATAACTTCTGTGTTGGCAGGTTCACCTGACTGGACATCAAAAAGGTTGGAGCAGCCTGCCTGATGTGTGGACTGACCATATCTGCCAGACTGTATTGTGGAGTCTGCCTGGTTGACTGATTCAGGGCAATCATTGAGGTGTAACAATATCTTTGGGACTGGGTTTCTGAATATATGAGTGGGCCTGCCTATCCTTCCCTGACCAACTCTGTCTGGCTCTGCTTGACAGACAGCATTTGTGTCTGACTACACCTGCCTGACTGACCACTTACACAATCAATAAATGCCATTTGAATCAGATTTCTGCCTGAAGTGCAGATGACCAACTAATCTGACTTACTTGCTTCTGAAATCTCTCTTCCTAGTGCCCTCTTTCGCTCCATCTGCCCAACACATATCTTCTGAGGTGTTGTTTGTCCCAGAGATCTGGCCTACAAGTCTGGGCCTTGCGGGGTTGAGAGCAAAAGTGCCAATAGAGGCCTGTGTGTGAGCAAGCAGCAGGAGCAGAACTGAGACCAGGTGGAGAACAGAAGAAGTCTTGGGGTTCCTCAAGGCCCCTGAGGTGAGGGAATTAATTCTGTAACACAGCATTTTGAGGAGTTGGGCTGATGTGTGGTTGCTTCAGGATAAGACTGTATGATCCTGAAAACATAGTTCTTCCATGTTTGTGGAAAATCTCTGTCAATACCTTGGTGCTCTGCAGAAGTAGTTGGGGGGGGGGGGCAGGCAACAAGGCTTACCCCCAAGAAGTGAGGAAAGAGTTTGTGTGGGAGTTAGAGTGGGTTGGATAGGAGTGAAGCTTTTATTGCAATTGATAGTGTGCACTTAAGAAAGAGTACAAGCAGATATATATTCTATATATATCTATATATATCTATGCTTAGTAGGGGGCTCACCGAAGGGGTCCTGAATTGGTTCTGATCAGTTTATTGTTTGCAAGACTGTTGAGTCATAACAGGACCCTGGAGGTTAAACAGAGATAAAGTGAGTTTATACAAATAGGTTTTGGGTCATCTTGCCCCAGACTGGATAGTGCAGCACCTCTGGGAAGTTGCTTCTCTTTTTGTGTTTTCAGTTTCCAGCAGGCCCTGTAGCTCAGCTCAAGGTTGTTGCTATTATTTGTCTGTAAATATCAGCCTCAGAGAGAAAAGGTAAGATAAGTTTTTTTCCTTTTGCATTTTTTAAGATATGAGAACAATTTAACCATTTAGCCTCTAGCACAGAAGACCTCAGATCCTGAATTTAAACCTTTCTCATAGCTTATATGTATGTCACTTCCCCTCTGGAAAGAGAGGCAGTGTGCCAGAATAAAGAGAAGGAAATACTAGTTAAAAGGAATTAAAAAAACATATAAGCATGTCAATTGCCTGGGTGTGCTATGACTTATAGCTATTGCTATTAATAATGATAAATGAGAACATTGGACTAGCTTATCTTGATCGAGCTCTAGCATTCTTAGATACTGTTTCTCCATTAATAACAGAGGCCTGGCTGCTTCACTGATTTCATTATAAGCCAAGGGAGGAATGGAAAGAAATAAAAAGCTTTGCTCCCATGGGTTTGGTTGTAGTTAACTTAGGCTGCTATAACAAAATACCATATACTGGGAGGGTTTAAACAACAGATATTTATTTCTCAAATTTGTGAAGGCTGGGAAGTACAAGATCAACGTGTAGTCCAGTTTGGTTCCCGGTGAGGCCCTTTTCCTGGCATGCCATATTCTCACTGTGTCCTCATATGGTAGACAGGGAGAAAACTCTAGTCTTCTTTTTATAAGGACACTGATCCCATCATGGACCCCACGCTTCCTCTAAACCTAATTAACTTTCTCTAAACCTAATTACCTACTGAAGACCCCATCTCCAGATAACATCATATGAATTTGAGGGCATACAACATTCAGTTCATAGCAGGTTCTCCCCACATAAAGTTGGATCTTAGCTAGTGTGCTTTGCCAGAGTAGGGGCTCCCAGCAGACTAGGAAAAGATATAGCAACAGGGGCCTCCCCTGGTGGCGCAGCGGTTGAACGCTGGGCTGTGAAGCTGCCTGCAGCCTCTGCAGCGCTGGTTTGATCCCCGGCCCCTGGCAAGGGTCCCACATGGCGCGCAGACCTCTCCTGCCGCCCCTCCTGCTCCCCTCAGCAGTGTATTTCGTCAGTCTGTCTGCTCTGTTCCCTGCTCTGGCTCTGGTGAATTCTTGCACCCTCCCGTGCTTCTGACTGTACCCAGTGCTTGTATAAATAAATGAATAAATCTTAAAAAAAAAAAAGAGAAAGAAAGAGAAAGAAAAGAGACAGCAACAAGTTGCACGGAGCACTTGTACCTTACTCATTCATTCAACAAGTGCCATATTGAGTACTGTGCCTAAGGTACTGTGCTGCACCCTGCCATTCATGGAACTTAAGTTTATGGGCTTCAGGAAACCTTTCCTGTGCTCCTCAACTCTGGGTTTGTCAGTGCCAGATGCTGAGTATCAACTGCTTTCTTTCTGGACTACCTGCACAACTGAAGGTGGGAGACCTAGTACAATGCATTGATTCTCAAAAGTGCAGACTTGTTCTTTGGTCCCACCACTGATGATTCATCAGGGATTCTTAGTAATCTATGTTTTATTAAACTCTCCACATGATAATGATGTATGCTGAGTTTGAGAACCAATAGAAGAAATGATTGTGTTGATTTTGGTGATGGACTGTCCATATTGGAATTTCGATGCTATTACATAAGAGTTATGTGACTTTGTGGTAGTCAAGAAATCTTTCTATGCCTCAATTTTCTGATTTGTACAATCAGTAAAAGTCTGATTGCTTTAACCAGTTTAATCCAGAGAAAGAGCTGAGTAAATAATTTCATTTTTGGGACTGTATCGAATGGCTGTATTCTAGCATATGCTAAATGAAATATCTTCAGGATATTCACTGATGCATTAGTTATGTAAGATAAGAAATAGGGGCCTCCCCTGGTGGAGCAGGTGCTTGAGCGCCGCACTGTGAAGCTGTCTGCAGCCTTTGCAGTGCCAGTTCGATCCTGGCTGGCTGGCGAGGGTCCCACATGGCGCGGCAGACCTCTCCTGTCGCACCCGCTGCTCCCCTCAGCAGTGTATTTCGTTAGTCTACCTGTTCTGTTCCCCACTCTGTCTCTGGTGAATCCTCTCACCCTCCTGCGAATCTGGCCTGTACCCCTGTTCTTGTATAATTAAATAAATAAATCTTTAAAAAAAAAAAAGATAAGAAATAGCCTAAATAGCTATCGTTTGGGACTAATTTAATAAACATGGTCCTGCCATACGATGAGTGAGGAACTTTACATACACTCTTGTTAAAAGATCAGAATTTTCAAGCTAAAAAAACAAGGTGCAGAACAGTGTGTCTAGTCTGCTCCCATTTGTGTAAAGAAAAAGGATCTTTATATATGCATAGATTTTCTGTGAAAAGATACTCAAGAAAATCATGACAGTGAGAGAAGAAATGACTAGAAATAGGGGAAGAAGAGATACTTATTTTTATTGATTAAACTTTTATTTTCTTACATTGCTGTTCACTTTTGTGCAATATCTATAGTCCCCATAAATCTCCCACTACCACATCACCTGTGAATAGTCACCATGGTCCCTTGCGCTCTTTCCTACTCTGTTTTGATCCCTCTTCCCACCTCCCTTGCTGTATGCCTTAGATCTCTAGTTTGCCTGAAAGTTTTGTCTCTCTTTTTTTTTTTTTGATCCTTTGTTGGGTTTCCCTATATTCCTCCTATAAGTGAAACCATCCTATATTTTTCTTTTTTCCTTCTGACTTATTTTACTGAGCATAATCCTTCTAGCTCTACCCATGTTGCTACAAATGGCATGAGTTTATCTTTTTTGATTGCTGAATAGTATTCCATTATGTATATATACTACATCTCTTTGATCCATTCATCTGTTTTTGGGCTTTTGAGTTGTTTCCTTATCTTAACTATTGTAAATTATGCTGCCAGAAACATAGGAGTGCAGGTTTCCTTTTGAATTAATGTTCTTGTGTCCTAGGAGTGGGATTGCTGGGTCATATGATAGATCCATTTTTAGTAATTTGAGGGTCCTCCACATATCTAGGAAAGAGATTTATTTTTCCCATACATACATCCCTTTATGACTTAAAATGTGCAGTTTTATTCAGAAAATGTATGCATTTTCTATTCACGAAAGTGAAGTTTTTAAAAAGGGATGAATGCTTTGCATAGTTCCTGGAGGCACCGACAGTGGTGATGAGGGGATGATTCATGCAAAAATGTAGCATGACCATAGCCTCTCATCTTCTTCCTCATTCTACATGGTCCATGTTGTGCCATAGGATATTTCTTGCATTTTGGAGATGGAAAAGAGCTTCAAGATTTTCTGGTATAGCCCTTTTATTTAAAGATGAAGACCTCAAGCCCCAGAGAGAGGTCATAACCAGCACAAGATTATCCAGAGGACTGGAGCTCAATTTGACCTCTTTTATAACATCATAAAACTAAGCTTTCTAAAATTCTGCTTTTACCCCCACCACTGCTCTGCTTGGAAATGGTAATGACTCCTCAACCTGTTAAGATGAGTTATGGTTGAATTCCCAACCAAACTTTCCAGCCTTCTTTTCCACCTTATGTGAATTCCCTAGCCAGATAGAGCTCTTCATCCACCTCAAATATTCCTGCTTTCCAGAGGCCATGACTTGTCTGTACTGAGCTTACCACCTAAAATGCCTTTCTTTTTCCTGTCCATTTGTGGACATTCTACCTAAACATGGATATAGATTTACACTAAAATCATATTTCCTCCAAAACTATTCCCTGACTACTCAATCTCACAGCGCTCTCTCCTGCCTTTGAGCTAATGAAAACATTCTTGTAAAATGTCTGCTTCTTAAGAAGAGCATAGGATGGTTCTCTGCTGCTTGAGCAATAGGATATAGAATAGATTTGAGTCAGTTCCTCACCTTGACTCCCCATTTCTGGAAAATATTGGGCAAAAGACCTTGGCCCATCTTATTGTTTCCAGAAAGCCCTGGGGAATGATGCCACTGAGCCACCTGCAGCCAGCAGTCAGTCTGCAGAAACTGCTGGGCTTCTTCCTACCCTGATGTTTACTTGGTCTGGAGGCCCAGCGTGATGAAACCTGGCCCTGTTGCTGAGCACCTTGGGAGGCCTCCCTCCAGGGTCCCTCTGTGCTCAGACAGTAGCCCTTTGTGAAGCAGAGGAGCCGGACTGAAAGTGGAGCCTCTGGAAACCTTCCCTCCCCCCTGCTTCCAGTTGCCTACACCAGCAGCCGTGGACCATCCTGTGCCTGGGTGGCCTCTCTTTAAAGTTCACTACTGGCAGCTGCAGGTTGAGATTCCAGGCAGCTAGCTATGCCGAGAGCATGAGGAGGGGTCCTGCAGCAACAGTGTCCCTTAATAGAGGGACTCGATAGAGGATGCTTATAATGGAGCTCTCCAAAGGGAAGACTGGCCCCTCTCCAGGCCAGATGGACATTTTAACTATTCCCACCACCACTAAATGCTGCCCCAGGATTTAGGGCTGACCTGATGTTGTTTGTCTCTTCTGCCCGTATTTCACTAACCCTACACTCACTTGGAGGAGGGGGCAATTGGGAATCAGATGTAATCCCTAGCCTGGGGGGAATCAGATGTAATCCTTTAGACTAGTGGCTAAAGGAAGAGTTTTCAGATGGCACAGGTGAAAGGGCACTCACTGGTCTGGGGTGGGTGGAGGCATGGGATTCCTACTAAGCTTTGGGGCTTGCTGGGTGACCTTAGCTGGTTGCCTTACTTTTCTGTGTTGCTTCCTCTGTTTTCCTAGCTATGCCTCACTTTCCCAGTTGCAAAATTATGAAGGCTAAGTAGATGAATGTCAAGGATTTTTGCAGTTCTGATTTTTCATAATACTGTGATCACAGGGATGAAAGGGAAGAGCTGGGGGTGGGTTGGAGGTAGATGACTGACAGGATGCTCTCCGTTGATTCACCAGCAGTCGCTAGGCAGCCTCTTCTCTGCCTCCAGGATCCCTTCCCCCTCCCTGAGTTTCTCCCTTCCTCCCTTCTACCCCACTTTGAGGGTTTCTTGTGATGAGAGTTAGAAACTGTTTGACTTAGATTTGTCTTATCCCATATTCTGCCCCCAAGAGGAGGGGACTATGTGCA